TGTCCAAGCTTTCCTGCCATGGTGAGTGTTCGAAATATTGGTCATAAAAATCACAATAATCGTTTCCTTCCGCTGGTAACTTTATAAGATAGGACTCTGGCATTATGGCTTCATTTGCTACCACTACCAGACCCCCTTGCACGCTTTCTTTTGTTCAGTGAATTAGCACCAATTTGTCTTTTAAACACCAACAAATTTCAATAAGAAAGAAAATTTGCGAAGCATTATGGTAGTATCAAAGGCCTATTAAACGTCGTAAGAATGTTACGTCACTCCTGTTACGAGAGATGAGGCGATATTGTTGGAATTCTATCTAGTGTTTATTCCTTGTAATTCTTAACAACAATATTCTCACATCTAGTCGCCACGTGTTCATGTATACAATGCGCATGCTCAACGCTCCTGAATATGCATATCATTACAACTCCTGTTTAAAGATCCTTGACTCACCGATCCTTGACTGACAGGTTGAATGCCCAATGGCTCCGTATTGAATACTATATTCTGTGTATRAATTTTGACTCTTATTTTGATTTTCTTTTCTTCGACTTCACTCTATTAGAATAAGCTTTCCGTTGACTCGAGCTCGACTCTCCTAGAATAAGCTTTCCGTTAACTACTACTGAAATCTTCATTCTCCTCTTTGCTACTAATCTCTCCCTACTCTTTCTCATGTGAACTTTTATCACATGACCTCTTGAATGACATCTAATAGACGATTTGCACTAACAGGTCACGTGACTCTACTTCCCTTAAAAGGAGCAGCTGTGTTAAAATGAACAACAGAAATAAAAAGAGCACCTCGATATTAGTGGGGTGGCTCTTTTCCTTTCTAAAGTTCGTTTTCACGCAACTGCTCGTTTTAAAGGAGGTAGGGTCACGTTACCTGTTAGCGCATGTCGTCTATTCCCATAACTGTGTTTTCATAACAGTGAGCACGCTATAATGGTGGATCAAAGGGATAAGGTTTTCTCTCTACACCAATGCACAACTAGTACTACACGTTCATTTGGTTTAACATGGCCGTTTTTATCCTATGCTTTTAGATAGTCACTGCACTCTTCCGAACCAGATCAAGTTCGAAATTGCTAAAGGTATGCAGGTCTTTGTTCAGCGGTCTAGTTCCATTTGTTTTCCGGCGAAATACATTCATTTGCAGTGGTGCGCGTATGAATGAGAGCCCGCGGGGCGAGCGCCCTGGTTCCGCCAAATCATAAGTCATCGACAGAACTATAGGTCGCGCAGGGCTTTTCCGCTATCTCCACAAAGAATAAATAGAACGAATTTCTTTTGCATTTTTGTTTTTTTAAATCGAAAAATACTAGATACTGGAATTAAACAGAGAATTGAATTTATAGGTGTTTGCCACTGTTATGTTTTTGAGTCTTTTCTTTTCTTTCTTTTTTCTTTCTTTTTTTGTTGTTTATTTTTATTTTTATTTCAATATATTTCTTATTACTTATACACAGATATATATTTATCATTTGTTTTCCGCGTGTTTTCATGTTTGCTCTTCCTTTTTTTTTCAGGCACAAGCAAGAGTCACTGGATTCGTGGCACTCCTTCCATTGTCATTTTTTTCGCTTTCATTCATAGGTTTTTGCTATACATTTCGTATTAAAAACAGCAGTAGTGCCTAATATTTTGCTGTCAAGAAAAGCATYTTACATTAAGCGTAGCCTGTTTCCATTCCCTATTTCAATAAAGTTAATAACCAAAAATCTAGACTGAGATCGCTGATGATGGGGAATACTTATATCAAACATGTTAAGGCTTTTTTGACACAAATTTCAGCTTGAGGATGGGCATGCATRCTCACATGAGGTCAACTGGAACTAAGATCCAAGTCCATCAATAGCTATCTACCCATTATCATTGCCGGTCTCATCTTTATAGTTTTTCGGCAGGTTACTAACTTTTTCGAAATAAGAATATCATATATTTTGTGGGCTTTTTTTTAGTTAGTGTTTTTATAGGTCAGTCTTAGGTTTTAAGTCGTGAATCAGCTAGTAGACTAATGGAGGTTAGTACATGATATTATTTCCATTGTTTTCTTTGTTATCCATTTGATTATTACACATTAAAAAGTTCAAGTAAGTTAAGTAAAGCACTAGCCAGGGACTGATGTACCTTTTAACGACCTTTAACCCGGTTATCGAGTATAGGTAGACGGTTTCGCGCATGCGTGTGCGAACTGGCGCATTCTTATTATTGAACTCGTGTATTAAGACTGTGATTATCTTAGAAGTATCTTGATACTTTAGAAATAAAATATAGTTGAATGATCTTGACTGGTTGGTTWGTGTTAAGGCAACCGCAAAAGATGCTTTTTCTCATGGTCGTTGATGACCAGCAGGAATGCTGGCTCTGGGGGACGAGGGCCGAGATTGGCCGAAACTCACGAAACTATACCCTACGCCTAGTTATTTCTAATTATAGGTTGCAGCCATGAAGTTATATGCTAGCAGGGTGAAATCAGTAGTGGATAGAGGGAAGGAACCTGAGTGGTAGAGAGTACGTCGCAGAATACGTCCTTGCCGAATAGTCGTTCTCCCATGCCAGCATGCGCTATAGYCACCAGCTACTTGAAAAACGAAAAGATAGGAAAATCTTGTGAGTTTTTTTAAAAACGTTTGCATTTGGCTTGAGATATTTCCAACACGGCGGTTACGTATGCTCAACGGTCCAGCGAAGCGGCGAAGAACGGGGTCTCTGGGATAATCCATATTTTGGCGCATGCGCAATTTCGGAAAGTGAGATATAACAGATTAAAATAATCAAAGTAGAAATTAAATCAAAGAAAAAATTAAAGTAAAAATCATAGTAAAAATTAAAAATAGGGCATATATATGTATAACATATATATTAATTTTTTGTCAAGTCTTTGAACGCATGCGCTGKTATACCGGAAGTCCAAGAAATCCGGTCTCCAAAAATGGATTATGCCAGAGCCATCGTTCTTCGCCGCTGACCAGAAGAAACGCTTGCTCTGGGTACGAGATTTCCCCGTACTTTGTATGCCACTTTGTTCCCTTGTATGTAACTTTGTTTTTTTCAGTGTCTTAGTAGTTGATAAAACATTTATTCAACTTTATTTCTCTCTATTCAGTATTTTATATTTATATCTTCATATATTCTACATAAAAACATCAAAAGGTGAACCTGCGAAATTGAGAACGCGGGCGCACGGCCATGTTGTGTTTTCCCGCCAAAATTTCCAGACGACTGCATATCATCAAATCCTGGTTTCTGATTGGTTGAATTCCAAGGTCCGTTTGTATTTGACTTGAACCAAATTATTCCAGCTCAACTACAACAACGGACTYGTCACGTACAAAACGTAAGACTTTTTACCTCAAATTCTCCATCATCTTGGGCCTTGGTATACAATCAACATCATAAATCATCACTTTATACATTAATTAAGCAACAGTGAAAGTTTGAATAGGAAGAAGAGGAGTTATYTTGAAAAAAAATCGAGYTTAAAAATGGCGTTCACTCGACTTCGTAGAAGACCGCTAGAATTTGTAGACGAACGACCTGAACACGAAAACATCAATATTYCTCTAGATGAAGACGATAGTTCTGGAGAAGAATCTTTTATCAAGACAACTTTAAGAGGTTCAGATAATACAGATGAGTTCTGGGACTCTGGTTTTTCGAGCCCGCCTGGTATGAATTCTCGTAATGTTTCGATGCAAGAAGATGATGATTCACCTATGATTAGTCTTATGGAATGCGATGAAAACTGTCCGATAACTCCGCCGTTTTCTCCTCCATCTCTTGGTGGACTTAGATTGTTCGATACTCCACATACACCAAGAAGTTTACTTCAGAGGTCTAGCTGCTCTGGCAGCCCAGAAACTAAAGCAGAGAATCGTAAGTTATCGAGATTTCGGCGAGGTCTGGGAGGAAGACAGTCGAAGACTGAGCCACGTAATAATTCTAAAGCGAGATTAACGGCGAATGTCAACCCTTTTACTCCGGATTTAAACTTTGGAAACAACGGCAACAACAAGAGAACGCGAAAACTCAGGTAATTATATATGAATGAATGTATTTATTCATCTCAAAACCCGGCATATTAGAATAGTACAGACTGTCAGATCAATAAGAATTATTTTCAATAATAATTATTTTCAAGTGCTGGTACTGCAGTTCAACGACAGTTTTTATCTACTTTAGACTTTTCCTAAATGAACAGATTTATAGATTTTGAATAATCACGGTCGAGAAAGAAATCTTAAGTTTTGTCCGTTAATTTTTTTTCAAAATTTTATAGGTCAGAGGTCATATGATTGAATGAAATACTTATCATTTTATTGTGATACCAGGGAAAGCCTGATGGAAGATGATGCCGATGATGCTGATGATAATGTCTTTGGTAACCCTGCAAAGGTACATCGTAGCTTGCTATATTTATAGTTTAGCATAATGCAAGTGTATGTTAAATTTCAAATGGTTAAAACATATGATATAGCAGTTATCGTATGACTGTGAAAAGCTCAGTGCCGTAAGCGTGATGTGCCGTGACAGTGATGCTTTCTAGAATTTTGATTGGCTGATTTTTTTCATGTGCAATGTGATTGGTCTGGCATTGCCATGACCTTGGCGTGACTGTGTCCGCTCCGTGTTTGTGCCGTGTTCCGGGTATTTGATTGGATGGAGAGTAAATTCTTGTGCAATGTAATTGGTCTAGTGTATCCCTTGCAGTATCATGGGCATTTTGGTGCCGTGAATTTTACACAGTAATACGAAAACTGCACTATGGAATTGCTTGCATTATTTTATGGTAATAGGACTGTATGCAGGGCCTGTCGCTAACATAGAACACTATTCTCAAACTGGTGAATGTTTGATGTGGACCAGTGAAAATAAATAAAATTATTAAATTTATTTAAATAAGTTTATTCTGAGTATGATAACGAAGAGAATCAGACAACGCTTGGTCCTGTTGTTACTATTTAATGCTAACCAGTAAAATAAACCAAGAAAAGCAAGATATGTGCTTGATATTGTAGCGATTGCATGATAGCAGTTTGTGAAGTTGTAAAGTTGTAATGTGATAATTGGAGCCAATCACATTTGAAAATATTTTAATAGTCAAGAGGCATTTTCAACTCCAGCAAAGGTTAACTTATAAAATTCATATTTCAAAAATCATATCTTCACGAGTTTTGAACCTATTTACATGTACTTCAGACTTGACAGATTTGCTAATTTATAAACACATGTAAAAAATCTCATTATCATTGTTCCTGCAGAGGCTGGCACTTCACGAAAGTAACATTTCACGATTTCATGAGGAATTTGTAGAGCTGTGTATCATTGGATCAGGGCAGTTTGGATCAGTACACAAGTGTATCAACAGACTAGGTTTATATTGCATTTAATCTTTTTATACCAGTTATCATTATTTCAAAGTTAAAAGAAAACTCAAACAATTTCTATCTGTTCATTCATTCTGCATTCTGTAAATTGCATAAAATTTTCAAGTAAAATTTATTCTACTTTTTTCTAGATGGATGTGTTTATGCTTTGAAAAGATCTCTTAAACCAGTTGCTGGGTCTGTTGATGAGTAAGTATAGCTGTATATTGTATCATCATTTTACAAGCTACACTCAAAAATTGGATTTTTCGATTTCCCTTCTTTTTTTCTCCTTTTGACTATATTTCCAAAAATTAAAAACAATGTTACAACAAATATGCCCAATATTAATGTTTTATATAAGTCAGTAAACAAATAATGAACATTTTAATTGGAGGTCTTGATTGAAGTCTTTCACAACTTGGTATATGAGAAGTGCAAAACAAATAATTGCAGTGCTTCATGGGATACCTTGGGGTGGAATTAGCATTGTGATTAGATTTGAGATACTAAATCAAGTCAATGTTTTTACTATTATTTTTTAGACAAAATGCTATGCGTGAGGTTTATGCTCATGCAGTACTTGGTACTCATCCGCATGTAGTAAGGTATTACTCTGCCTGGGCAGAAGATGACCGTATGTTGATACAGAATGAATACTGCGATGGCAAGTACAATTTATATATGTATATATATGTATGTATCGTGGTATATATCTGCATGTATATATATAGTTATATATGCATATTTATATAAATTTATTTCTTGAGGGGTTGGGTTCCCACTTGCTTTATTTATTCTTTTGTTATCTTTAGTTAATTCATTTACTATGTGAAATATAATTTTATTGAATATTTATTAACATGGATTATAGTTTCCTATTTATTTATGTATTTATTTATTATTGATTATAATGCGCATTAAATCATTTTATGTATTTAACTGTAAATATGTCATAAATAATTATAAGTAATTATTATATACTAGGTACTAACGTAAGTTTCTAAGTCTTTAAGACTTTGAAGATGGATACTTCTATTTCTTTTCAAGTTATTCAGCTATATTTAATGTGTTGCATTCTTATAAACAATTATATTGAATACTTCTGAAGGTGGGAGCCTTGCTGATCGCATAGAAAACAACAAGAAACTTGGAATACTATTGAGTGAAGGAGAACTAACAATGCTACTGCTGCAGCTTGCAGAAGGTCTCAAGTACATACATTCTCTTAACCTAGTACACATGGATATCAAACCAGGTATATAACATCCGAATGAAGGAATTAGTTGTTTTGAACCAATATGCTATGTCTTCTAAGCTAGAGGTTGGCAATATGGTTCCTAATTCATTCGGTAATCATGCTTATTTATTGGCCAGTTGTCAAAGTCCCAAACAGGGTCTTTGCACTAAGTTAATAATTGATCAACATCTATTTATTCCCTGAGAGCAACTGTATAATATAAATGGACTACTCAAATGATAGGGTGGCCATCTTGCCAAATGCAAAACAAAACAAAGATGACAGAAAATATAAAACATTTTGGTCATTGAAGTCATTACTGTAACCAAGGTTTATTTGCCCCCTTGATGCCCCATAATGCCTTGCAATCCAAGTTGGCCTCAGTATCGGTAAACTAGTCCATTGGATCATTGCTTTTGGGATTTATACTGAGACTAAGCATTTCTCTTTTTCCCTAGGCAATATTTTCATAACTCATAACAAAGAAGCTGATGATGATTGCCTAGGTCATTCATTTAATAATGATGAAGGCATTCAGGACTGCGAAGGATCACCAAAAAACAAGAGACCATCACTCTATTATAAAATTGGTAAGAGTTCAATATTATTATAAAACTGTTTGGGTTGCCCGTGGAATCTTATAACACAACAACCCAAGGTTCCTTACTTTGCTTTGACATTTCATTGACGTATATTAAATGAAGCTGTGCTTGGATTGTTAATTTAGGTGATCTTGGTCATGTGACATCAGTGACCAATTCCGAGGTCGAAGAAGGAGATTGCCGATTTTTACCAAATGAAATATTACAAGAGGTAAATAATGCATTTAAATACTGAGATTGATGCCTATTATTTTTAAAAAAATTTATAACTTTGTGAAATAATTAAATTTGGGTTATGAAATATTTTTCAATAAAAAGTATAAAAAGTATTTTGGCTGTCAGATAAATAGATTTAGTTCTCTCAACTCTTTTCTTGTCTCAGGACTATAGTAATTTACCCAAAGCAGATATATTTGCCCTGGCTCTCACTGTGTATCTTGTGGTAAGTAAATTGTCATATGACTGTATATTATCTACATGACATTGTGTCTTACAGTCTTGCAACAATGTGTGACTGGACATACACTGTTTCATGGTTGAGTGATGTAAAGTTCAATCATAAGGTTAATAGAGGCTTTGTACCAGCCTTGACAGTAGGCAGGAACAATTGAATCTGTTGAGAAAGAATTCAGTTTCCCAGGGGAAAAACTCTATTGGTTTGCCTCCCAAGTCATGGCAGCTATCACATGATGATGTGCAAAACTTGTATAAAAACCTAAGGTTTCTATTCATTATTTTGTTAGTGTACATCTTCTTGATACAGTATCTACCAACCCTCCTTTTTTCTTCGTCAATTATTACATCTCAGAATCAAACTTTTCATAAGCTATCCCTCTATTTAGTTTAATATGAACTTCCAGTTCTTTATTTTAACCATTTTCATATAATAAGATGCATCATCAAACCAGGCATCTGGGTCTCTCTTCTGTCAGTCAATTTTTTTCATTGTTTTAGTTAGTATTTTTTTGATTGAAAATTATGCCAAAAATTAATTGCACTTATTCTTTTCAAAGGGAGGAGGCGAAGAGTTACCTAAGAATGGCGAAAAATGGCATGATATAAGGTATTACTGCACACACTAAATTTTTCCCCTTTTATTTTATTGGTAACTTATCCCACCTAAATCTCTGATTAACCTCTTCATTCTAATACCTATCTCATGGCTTTTGTTTTGAAAAATTTTTTCTTTGGAATGCTTGTTGTAGAAGAGGCAATTTACCACCACTTTCTCAAGTGTCACAAGAATTTAATGAATTACTCCAGGTGAGTACTTTAGGTTAATTATTTCAACATGTCTATTTCCTCCCCCCAGAGGTAATCAAGAATAGTTTGGTCAGGTATAAATACATATATTAAATATAGTGCAAATTTTTTATTACAGTCTATGGTCAACCCATTACCTGCTTTAAGACCCTCGGCAGTTAACCTTATGATGAATCCTGTACTTTGTCCCATGGCCAACAAATCCAAGGTAAAAATATCAATAAAATAGTAGTGTGCTTTATTGTAGTAATGAATATTTTCTCAGGTTAATGAAAGATATAATATAATTAAAATCTTTATTCATTTGTTAGGCCCAATTGAGGAAAGAACTAAATACAGAAAAGTTTAAAAATGAAATATTATCCAGGTAGGCATAAATTCAATCCCATTGATGGAACTGATGATGATTATGATGATTGTCGATGATGATGAGAGTTGTTGAAGTTGTAATGAAGACATCTGCAGTTTATTAAAACCATTTTAAAAATGCACTTGTCATTGTCCTGGCATGACACTGTCCTCAGTTTTTATCAATAGAAATGGGTATTGTTTTGCCCATTTCAGAATACATGTCATTCCCTAGAGTATTGTTTCTCCAGTTTACGGTTGCACATGAGAAGACACATGAATATGGATATCCATCAAACAAAGAATCTTATTCTGAAAGGAATGATACATGGTCTGAAATGTAAAATATTCTTGTAAAATTCAATCCGCTAGATGTAATGATGATTCAATTTGGTTATGATTAATATGATAATGATTGTGGTGGTAGCAATATTATATTGTTAGTACTTGTAGTGATGACGAGAATAGTGACACTTGAAGTTGCAATGGCTATAGTGTGATGGTTGTGAAGTTTGTTATACTGTTTGTGTTGATGTTCCAGTAATCTGTTATTATTTTTTTCAGAGAACTAAAACAAGCTCAACAAAACATGGTCGGGCAGAATACGGGACCAAAAAGCACAGCAAGAAATTCTCGTATTATAGGACAGAAATTTAACAGAAGCATGAGTCTAAGTGTAATTATGTGACTACACTCAAATATAGTAAATATCCATGGATACTGAGATAACGGGGTGGCAGTGGGTCCGATGCTAGAAACCCCCCCCAACTAACAGCATACTCCCAAAATATATTAAAATATGGGCTTCTTAGAACAGCTCAACATGCTTCAGAAAATTCCTTCCCCATCTGTATGGTAGGTACAGTATGCATATTTTTTTATAACTTTACAATATTGATAAACTATGTATTATAAACCCTGGTCATAAACCAAATTAGCAAGGTACTTACAAACCACAATGTTACCAATAGAAACTTTTTAGAAAAATTTTGATTAAGCTGAAAGCATTTAAAGCAATGCAGTATCCTGTATATTTGCTTTTAAGCTTTTCAAAAATGTCAAGACCTGATGCACAAGAGCTTCACTTATCTTTAATTGTAATTTTTTAATAAGTAAGATTTTTAATATCTACATTTTTTAAGAATTGCAGATACTATTATTGTAAGTAAGAGGGAATATTTCCCCCAGTTTTGCAAACCATTTTTTCAGGCATTTTTACTTTACTTAGTTGAACCATATATTTTGTAAATATTAGTCAGTAAATGAGTTTCAGTCAAATTCTTCATTCTAGTTTTTAATTATCATAATTTTTAACTTTTGAATTTAAGTTTTATTTCCAAGTTTGTTAAATGAAAGTGATGAATAAAATGTTAATGTAAATAAAGACTTTTTTCAACCATTTTGGATGTATATATTGTATTAATTCATTTTTCCTTTTTTCCAGTTAGGGTCCGAAGGTCGTGGGTTTGATTCCCAGGGAGGTCGGAAATTAATTTTTCCGAATTTAATTCCAAGGGTCTTTCAGCTGGAATAACCTTGTTCCCAAGCACTATATCTCTATATCTTCATTTTTTTCACTTATGTGATTTTTTTTTTATTTTTTACATGATTTCTAATCATCAGTGCTTGCCTCTTAGAGTGCATACCATATATACATATCCATATACGAATTAGTGCAAGCAAGCAATTTCTTACAAAGTTTTTCATGGATATATGGAATGCACTTTATCAATTCTAGATTAGATTGTTGGTTCTCTCTTGTGTCGTATGTGAGTAGAGTTGTTTGTTGGTTCTCTCTTGTGTCAAATGTTACTCTCCATTTCCTTTCTTTTCCATTCTGCATTTTCTTTTCCATTCATCATTTTCTTTCTTCTCAATTCTACATTTTCCTACTACAAAAATCAACCTCTAAATTCCAATTTGAATATTTCTAGAATTCTGTGGATATCCATTGTACATTTTCTGGAAAGGTGGCCATGTTAGAGATTTAAATATTTAAAAAAAAAACATTGTAGGGCAGAGCAATAATACATTTCTCCTTTTGAAATTTGGGAACCAAAATCTCGAAAACTTTGATGAAAGTGCTAAACACAAATTGGGTTACCTATGGTGGAATGGTGGCAGGTTGTCTTATTTTGGCGCCAAAATTCATTCAGCACGAGCTGGTTTCTTGCCGTCCGCCATTTTAGATTTAGGAGTCTTAAAACTAAGTATTCTATAATTGGAGCAAGTCCTTCGGTTTTAGTGAATCAAAAGGCGAAGATTAGTAGAATAATACCGACATTAAGAGTCTATTCATAGTTAATTATTAATATTATTGCTATGGAAACGCCCATAAAGAAAACCGAGAGATAAAAAGTGTTTACCGCCGACATTTTGAAGGCGACACGAAAGAATCATGTCTGAAATGGTTAGAGGATTCAATTTTTCTTATTATCCCAAAGACGAAGAAGTTCAAGAAGCTCTTGATACTCTCAAACCTATTGGAATACTTTCAAAGGTAAGAGTTGTAAATGAAAATTTAACAGTGCTTCCCGCTCAAATTAGAACTCGCTCCGCACTAATTCAATGCAATTTGAACTAATTTTACTCTGAATTGTGTGATTTTTTAGGCTTATAATCAACATCAGCTGAAAAAACAGAAAGTAAGTATCAAAACTTATGTTTTTAACTCCTACTTATTGAATTTTAAGGAGGTGATATGCTCTCAGATTATGAACAATAAAAATAATCACGAACTCGATGGGACGTAGGATTTCAATTAAGACTTACAAACATCAATATCAGTGTGTTATTGTAAAAAAWATATATATATTATTTTTGCTTTGAATAGAAAAATACTAAGATATAATTAAGAAATCCCTGAACAGTTGTGGTTTTGGGTAGACTGTTATTTGTTATTTCCTTTAAACAGTTTTGGGTTTTTTTTAGCTTATTTCTTGTGTGTTTCCTCTCATAACATTTACGTAAGCTTAGCTTGAAAATTTCGAGTCTCTGGAGTATGACTTTAAGATTTAAATACTAAGGATAAACGTGAGCGGATTATCTTTAGTTAGTCTGTAATTCTTTACAGTAAAGTTTATATTGAATATTATTATTTTTGTTAAACATTCTGTTGTTGCTATGGTAAATCTAACTTATGCTTTACATTCATGTATATATTTTTCAGTTTATTCCTAACTGTTTGTTCTGATATTTTGATAGTTTGATCTGATATTTTGGCATAGATATATAAATTTCAATTTCATGAGAATTGTATTTAAAGGGAGTTTTCAACATTTATACTGAGGGTGGAGGGAGGGGGGTTAGGGTTAGAGCTAACCTTGAGTAAATGAGTCTGTAATCAAGAAAGGGTTGCTTGATGGGAGACTCATCTACTCAGGGCTAGCCTTGTATCAGTGTCTAAATATTCACAGTTACCAATGATGAAGTAAAGAATGCATAACTTCAACAATACAAACACTTTGAAATTCGATGGGATTTCATTGGATGAAATTCCATGGAATTTCACTGGAACAAATAAATAATCTACGCAAAATTGTTGTTAACCCTCAGAAACTGAGAGCTCAAAGCTGTGGAGTAATCCGTAGAAACTGTTTAAGACTAGTTTGACATAACTTATTGGGCTACCTGTGAATGCAAGTTACAGTATTGCCATTGTCATGTTTGGTGGCTTGTCTTCTCAGTATCACCCCCATTCTTCCAATCAGATTTTATGAAGCTAGAGGGAAAAAAATACTGATAGTTCACCACAGTGAACCCATATGCATTATTTGCTCATGAGGGAAGGTTTGTCCCTTTGTTTGTGAGGATAAAAAATTTCTTTCAAGAAAAAGTTTACAATATATCTTTTTTATTTGTTGAAAGATAAGTAAAATGGAGTACTGTACTAAGAAATGTATCTGTACCATTTTTCTCATTTTTCTCGAGGTTTTTTATAAATATCTTGAATGAAAGTAGAAGTCTTATGAAATAGCCGGAGTTCCTGGCCAGTAAATAACCTCTCTATATAAGATATGGAGACAAGGGACTGTAACAAAAGGAACCTAAATGACCAGGTGCTATGTAAACAAGCTTTTTAAAGGAACTTCTTACTTTTAATAATTTAAAGAGTAAGTTGTAGTTAATGAGACAATTTAAATTCATAACCAGTCAAAGTTCACTATGAACCAATTTACCTATTTCCAGGCATCTTAGAAATTTTCTTTTCTTGGAATTTCTCTAACAAAAATAGAGAATTCTTTGCGCATTTTTAACAAACAATTCTGTTTTGAAAAAAATTATTTTTCCAAATATAATTCATTATTTCAAGCTCTGTGATGGTCTCTAATTATGTTTCTAAGCATTATTATTCGTAGCGCTTCAGTAACTTCCATTGAAACGAAACAAAAGCGCATCCCCAAGAGAGAGAAAATTAGTTATTCGTATCTCATCGCATAGCAACCGTAACTAGCACTCTGAGGTAGATTTGTCAGAAGTCAGACAAGTTAACGAGTATTCAGCTTTTATCCCTGCTAAAAGAGCTTCAAGATGGGTGATTATCCTGGAGAAGGATATAAAATGTCTGGGTACGGACTTAAACTGTATAACCCACAGGAAGAGAAAAACCAATGGGTTGAAACTGTGAAGGTAAAGGTTTCTTAGCCTAGTATTATTCCGACACTGAGTCGAAGTGCAGCTTGTTGCCTTGAAAGATTACCTGTATTTTGCTCACAACAAAATCTATGTTGTTTTATCGCTTTTCGGATGGTATCGTTCGTGTATACACAGTGAGACGTTAGGACTGGGTGTTCACTGAGCTGTTTGAAACAGGCTGATATCAGCCTTGATTGTTCTCTACACTTGTCAGTAGTGGCGAGTTAATGACTGAATGTTCCACAGGCGCAGAAGTGCAGGCAATTTCAGGCAAACTAACTCAGTATCAACAAATACTGTTGTTTAGTCAGCTTCGCAATGTTTTTGTTCATTTTTATGACGTTAATTTAACACTCCTCTGATTACCCGGTAACATAACTATCCTTTCATTTCAATGGATGTTTAAAAGTGCTGCATTTAAGTATCTTAAAGGATAAGAAAATGATACCTCAGTATTGATTTTTGTATTGAGTTTGCGCGTAAATGAATATACATGGCGAAAGTTTTCAAAACACATCCCAAATGGGAAAGAATGACTATGCGTAGTAAGACATCAGTGACAAACGAAATACTGGGTCCGCTGGTCATAGCAAGGGGTTAATCATCTACGGTCTAGAGGCCAACTAACCTCTCCCTTAGGATTCGGCCAAGCTTTCTGATCAGTCTGTAAATCCACGGATAGCGTTGTCGGGGCTGAAATCTCCGCGTAGCCGTAAATGCTTCGCGCTGCCATACGACGGTTCAGCACTCGATGTCTGGAAGTATGGTCCTAATTTATCGAACCATACAAAACTTTGAATAGAGTAATCCTAACTGTGTAGAGATGAATGTGTGTTAAGTTGTTTCCTAGTAATTTTTTCTCAGCGAACAGTCATATTTCCGTATGTTGAACCCCCATTTTGTTTGATCTCTTCCTCGTAATTCCGCGAGAGATTTTCTCGGGTTTTCTGTCCTCCCTCTGCAATACCTACACTGACTGACATTTCAAATCAGAGGTGGTATCATTGTTTGATCTCTAAGTTAGCCATGCCCTGACTGATCAACCCAGAGCCGGTAGTTTCAATGTTCGATCTGTGTAAAAGTTAGCCATGCCCTGACTGATCAACCCAGAGCCGGTAGTTTCAATGTTCGATCTGTGTAAAAGTTAGCCATGCCCTGACTGANGATCTGTGTAAAAGTTAGCCATGCCCTGACTGATCAACCCAGAGCCGGTAGTTTCAATGTTCGATCTGTGTAAAAGTTAGCCATGCCCTGACTGAGGGGTCCTGTCTTTGATCAGTCCAGAGGATATTTCAGGGCTCAATTTTTGAGTTAGCAATGCACTGGCTTTGATCAGCCCAAAGGTTGTGTCAGGGTATCAATGACTCTTAATAAGCCATAGCATACCTGACTATTATTGTCTCAATATTTCAGCGAGAGGAAAGCATACGAAATAATCACATTGTAACTCAAGGAGAGGAAGCTGTGTCTAGTTCATGGAAAATCACGAGGCYCGAACCACTCGACTTGAATCAAGATACGAGTTACTTCAAGGCAAAGACGAAGGTACTTTTATTTTCCTTAAATAATTCATCCTGTGATGAACACTTTCCGATAGTCATATTCTCTAACTCGCATGCCCCATGCTACCTCCGCTAGGTTTGGCGCTAGAAGAGAGGGACTTGGGAGGGGTCTTGTGCCAACTGACGGTATTAATAGCACTGATACACCTATTAGGAATAAAAAAACATGGTCAGTGAAGGTTTTGTTTCATGTTGCGTACCAAGCAAAACGTACATCATGGGCGATGTGAATTCAATCAGCGAAAAGTCACAACGATATGAAATTTTCCTTTGTTAGCACGTTTTTTAATAGATAATTACTGAGGCACGCAGCATTCGTAGGTATAATGCAGGCAGCTGAGGGCGTAGCCACACCGTTGTCTCCTGAATACTTGAAGAAATTATTGCAGTGCGTCTCGTATCTCATTTTCACGTGGTCGAATCTCGCCCTCCCTTTAGTCCAGTATCTGAATGGCAAATATATTTATACTCGTGTAATATAATTTGTTTCACAGCACGAAAAACCCTCGACATACGACCGAATAAACAGTGTAGTGGTGGGTTACAATCAGAAATTACACAGGGATGACCGTGAGCATGCTAAATCGAGAGGACTGAACGTGAATCGAGAGGTAATGTGCGATTGACATTTTGAATAAAACTATACCCCCACCCCCCTGCATGAGATGTTAGTCATATACCCCCCCCCNCCCCCCCCTTTCCTTCCCCTGCCGGCATCTTCAGGGATAACATGGTTAGTAAAATAATAGTTGCTGTCTACTCTCGGGTAACTTGGTGGATGGATACACCTTGGGTGGATGGAAGCACCTTGGATGGACGAAGAAACTTGAGATGGATTTTCCTACTATTTTTAATGCGCACACTAACTACTGGAAGGATTCCCGCGGGATTTCAAAGGACAACTAGGAAATACAGAGAAGACATGGACAGTTTTAAGACCATGAAACCCTACCTGGAATTTTTTTTATATACAGTCAAAGGCGGATCAGAAAATATTCTGCTAGAATCCAGATCTGCTTAATAATCAAAAATCGTATTAATAGTTCCCATATGACTGTTGCTAGATTTAAGCATTGAAGGAGCACTTTTAAGGCGTTAAGACACGTTCATGGGCAAAAAATCCCATTTTTCTATGTGGTTCTCCACATTAAACTTTGAAGCAAAATCAAAAAATTGTTCTTGTTGAGTGTCCAACAATATTTGGTAGACACCAAAAGATTTAGATAGAGTAAAGAACGCTTAATTGATTTTGTAGATATATATTTTTTCCATTGTACTTTTTCTTTCTTTTTTATTGTTTCTTTTTTATTCTTTCTTTTTTATTCTTTCTAATCATTACATGTAATCTCCCACGATGTAATCTCCATTGTACTTTTTCTATATATTTATATGTTTTTTTTTCTTGTTTTTTTTTTCTCTTGTTAACATGTTATACTTATTTATTTATTTATTTATTTTTTCTTTTTCCTAAAACTCCAGAAACCTTGTAATTACTGTTAACTGTGTAATCTCCCACGATGAGCTTAGCTCTTGGAGAGAACACAGAGAGTCAATATGTTTAAATTAAAAAAAAAAAATCCCATCGTAAGATTTWAAAAAAAAATGCATGATTAGTGCGCGTGCGCTTAACGTGATGACGCCATTCCAATGTTTTGATAAATTCATGCGTTAAAAGGATACGCGCAAACAATGCCCATGAACATCCTTAACATAAAACGAGACTAAGTATATGACGTTATCTTAACCAGATATGTCCGTTTTCTTTTTCTTTTACCGTAGGAAACAGCTTTAAAAGTTCCGGCCCTCTCATCATCTGTTTATGGCCATCCTTCCCGCCGTCCTTTAGAATTCCAAGACCGAAAGCACGTACGAGTTGAACTATGCAAGAAAGACTTCTTAAGACTCAATGGCACCCTGATATCGAACGATCCTGATCTTCATTAACCTAGCCTATATTTATCATAAGTAGACAGGTAAGACTAGGTAGCTATTCTTACGAAAACCATGAGGCAGCGGACTCAATGACTAGCTGGTCAAAATGACTTAGGGTGGGAGGGGTGGAGAATGTGTTGCGTCAAAACGATTGAAAAGCGAGGGTTACTGAATAGTGGCGCTTTGCAGTGCCTTTGATGACATTATATCGACTTTCAAAAGTTCTTTAAGCAGGCACCTATAGCATTTAAGTTAGTCGTACATAGGAAAACAGTGGCACTCCAGGGATTTATAGAAGTGTTCATTACATGATTTCTCAAACTTTCGATAAACATTTCTACCCTCCCATCCCCCCACCCGTTCGAATTTCTGCCATCAGTGCCAAAGATATAGTCATTAGAATGTTGTTGCGCATAGAAGGCATTGGCGAATTTTTAAGGTTTTATCAAGATTTTAGACATAGGTTACCCCTGACACTAGCTATTCTTCTGTTATTTTCCCTTTTCAACTTTCTCCCTTTCTTCTCTTTCCTTTATTCGCCATTTTCACTTCCCCGTAATACCCTTCGCTATCTAATACACGACTTCACCCTTACTTCAATAGACGCTTAAAAGAACTCGAATTGGTGAGATGAATGACTTTGACACAAAATATCGTACTGTGTAGACTTTGTTTACTAATTAGGCCTTACTGACCTCGCTTCCATTCAATTGTCCCCGAGTTTGGCGGCCATTTTTGATAGTCGTGTATGACGTCTAATTTAAAGTTTTCACTTCACATTGTGGGAATTTGAAAATGGCGAATCTCTTTCTGTTTTCCTTCTTGTCCCCCTTCTCCTCTGTTCCTTCTTTTCCTATTTCCCATTTCTCATACAAAATCACAACGCAGCTATTCACATTAATTCCACTGGATTTTAACTGGTTCAGTCAGGAGGTCCAATGCCACAAATTCAAATATCTGGAATTTACGTAGTTTTATACCTTGCTAAAATTAGAATTAAAGCTTTGCAAGTTAATGATTATGTCTTTTTAAGATAAATTTGTTATTGTAAAAAATCGAAATAATTTAAAACATTAAATTTATTTTCTAAATCTAATTTACATTTCTTAGTTTTGTCTGGATGTGTCGCCCGCAGTCTACTCCAACATGTCTAAAAAGAATATATTGCTAATGATATTTTCAGTATGTGTTTCACATCAATATTGATGGTTTTCAACCATTCCCAAGAGAATTAAATAACAAAAGACACGGCGGCCATGTTGGAGGATATAATAAAATAATTCATTGAGAATTGTTTTGTTAAGTTCCTCCAACATGGCCGCCGTGAAAATCATCAATTGCTACTTCTGACATTTCAGATATGCCTTTCATAATGATCATACCTTTGATTCTACGAAACTACACTCGCGATATAAATTCTTTATTGCTTTATTTGGTAGTGAGTCAGGCATACACGTAGGTGTATTTCGATACCGATATTCCATTCCGATTCCATTACTGATAAACTAGAGGTTGCCAGAAAGTCTGACCACAGGAACAAATAATCACTAGGCTTGCGGAGCTGGGGCAGTTGAAGTATCAATACCCTTAAAAGTCAGAATTAAAACTAATTACAAAGATATAAAGATAACGAAGATAAGGAAAACCCGCCAAGACCACAGCTAGTTTAATTGACATGTTGGAAGGTATCTTTAGTTAAAAGAGTTTTATTTCCACGTTTTTTATCTTGTTCATACAGTAGTGGCAACATTTTGCTCAATATAGTGAAAGAGAAATAGCTAGTCATTTGAGATTACGACTCTTTATCAATATTTTCACTTCACTTCTATAGGTATTTTAGTGATAATTATTGTCAGTCAAAACCTTTTAGTGTCATGTTAAATGAACTGTCAGACTGATCTCATTTCAATTCAGTATTTTATTGATATCGCTCGACTGTCTATTTTGATTTTGTTTCCAATGTTCTTTTTCCATTTTTAGGTTGTTTTGACGGGTTCGTTTTTGAACTTTGAAATTCCTTTTTCGAAAAAGATAATTACGTTTACACATGTCTGTAGAATGCCCCGTACATCAAAATTGTTTCAATCATTGCGGAGGTCAGAATGGAAATATCTTGTCATTTCCTGACAATATTTCTTTTTCTATCATTCCAAAGAATATTCAGCCAGTGTTCACTAAGCGTTTTGAATTTGACCTTAATCTACCTCTTTCTTATCAGAATGAAAAGTATCTGTTTCTATTTTTCAACCTGTCGAAAGATGAAATACCACTAAATAATGCCCTAAATGTCTTTAAACGGATTGTTGACATCAAGCGCAACTCAAGGCAATTTCCCACTGCCCAGGAGAATAAATAGCCAAACGATTAATGATGGAAAATTACTCTTACCGAAAGTAAAATAGCAAAAAAACCAAATCGTCTGGGGGCAGTTGTGACGCCAGTCCGTCGGGTTTTAAGATTACAATCTCGTTCTTTTCTCTGCGTTGAAGACTTGAGTTTCCTTGCAAGATCGAAATCATATAAGAATCTATTTTGACTTGAAAGCCACAAATCGATCGCCGCTTAGACACATCTCTTCGGTGGAAAGATGTGTACTCTTCGAGTCTCGCAATGCCGAGGTATTACGCTAGTTCTTCCGATTCTCTCAGTGAAGTGACATGCTCCGTGAACTGTTGCTGCATTTGGATGTTCTTGGTCGTGTTGACCATCGTTCCAGGGTTTCTTTTGGTCATTATTGGCTGTCCTTGTCAACAAGGTAGTTCGTTTAAAATAGCAGAAGATCTTTGTATCGACTGTGCAATCATTGGAGACATTTTACTCAGTATTGGTGGTAGTGTCACCGTCGTTGGGTGTATGTATTACTGTTGCTTAAATTACTGCTTGAAATTATCATCAAGGGCAAATGCTCGAAGGAATAAGCTCAACAGAGTTCCACAAGTGACTATCACACCGAATGAAAGCATGAATCATTCTTGCCAGATGCAAACCATGGGTGCTAGCGCAGTCGTAAACCTACCAGAGGATTTACATAACAGATCAGAGTACGACGATCGCTCTCCTTGCCTGAGTGTGGACCACAAACCATGCACAAAACGAGGTAACTATACCACCATGCAGGAAGAATCCGATAGAGAGGAAAACACTAACTCGATTGAATTAAACCTTTTTACCGATAAAACAGCGAGTTTGGATACGCCGAAAAGGTCAATGAACGAAAAATCGTCGTCACTGTCATCGCTGTTCAGTGATACTGTTCTTAATGTTGGTGTTGAAAGTAATGCCGCGCCAGTAGCAACCTGAAGAAATAATCCTCCATGAATTTGGGCATTTGCTTTAATCTTGACACTACACATGATGTTTTATAGCCATGCAGTTTAATTTCTTACTTCGATTTTACAAAGATGCCAAGATGTGTGCAGTTATATTCTAACCAGATGGGTCGGGAGGGGGAGTAGACTTTGCTTTAAAGCATTCCATCAAGTCTTGGCTTTATCCGCTGCCTGTAAATTAGCAAATTTAGCAAATTTATTATCAGAACTCGTTCGTGGATGTTAAAAAGATGGGATGACATCGACGTGGGTCTTGTAGGGTGGAGGTGAGATAGGAAAACATTTGACAAACCAGTAAGAGAGGGAGAATTCGAGAGGAGTAGATGTAGAAGGAGGACTTTCATTTTTGAGCCAAAAATGGTTGGTCATGGCGTTAGGCGTTTCTGTATGAGTGGGAAAGTTACAGCACGTACACGGCGCGATATACCGTATTTTTGAAATGGTTTCCCATTATCTTCCTGTTAAATCCAATCACAAAATGAAGTTAGGTTAAAATACGGGACTACTACTACAGTGAGGCCACATTGTTTCTCACTAATACGATTTTTACGCCAATTCAGTGACCAACAAGTGCGCAGCAACAAAATGTTTCAATCCCCGATCAATGGGACGATGACAACTTGAAATTATCACCCCTATTTCTCTTGGCTTATACCTAAGCTAATCCACAATGCATCTGTTTATCGAGCGAGGAGAAAAATTATCTATACATAGAGAATAACTGATTTTAAAATACTTGAAGCTCGATAATAATTGATGCTATTAATGAAGCCGCTTTTTTCCAGACATGATCAATAATGCCAATTTTAGAGATAATCGCAAAGGTCAATATCTGTACAGAAAAATACGATATTGGCTCGCATCAGATGGACAATATTTAGTTATGCCTGAGAAAATATTATATCGACGTGTTTTGTAAATGTAATCTTTAAACAGAGTGCCTTGAATTGCCTGTCAAACAGGTATGGACGTGTCTTGGTTTTTGATTATTCGCTTTTTTCACCGACAAGGTTATTAAATATTCTTGTTTTACAGTCAAACCTGCTCTAGGCTTCCAAACCCCCTAGCTTCCATTAATGGTTTTATTATTCAAATATTGAAATTTGTTGTCCTTTCTGAGAATACGAAGACTCCGGGTTCGAAATAATAAAAAATTCGAAACTCGAATTCTGATTGGATTAGGGTGTTCCTTATATGGAATAGGCCAATCAGAATTCGAGTTTTGAATCGAATTTTCTGCATGTTCCTGCTTTCTTCCCCCGCTTTCTAATGCTTTTGATAATGAGTTTTATTTAAACAATTCAAGCTCTGAATCTAAACATACTCCAACTGCGTTTTTCCTGCTGTCCATATAATAAGGCACGTAACATCTGGTTTCATCTTAAAAGTAATAAAAAGATCTACATCTAATGTCAATAAATTCGGTCTTTAAAAGTCTAAGTCTAACAATCATGTAATCAACAAATCCTGATGGATGGGTGTAACCTAACGCAGCGAGGTTATTGATTACATTCTAAATTCATCATTCATGTTTTCATTAGGTATTTGAAGGATATAGGTAAGGTGGAAACACTGCGCGTTAGTTGTTTTCGTTTACTCCAACGTTTGGAAACTACAGAAACTTCAGATTTTACACTTTTAAACTCGTTTTTGCCAAGAGAAAAAAGATAACGAGATCATATGTGGTGGCCCATTCATGAATGTGAGAGTAAAATCGTTTAGATGAATACAGACGAAACCCCAAGGTAGAAGCTGAGATTCTTTATTTTTATTCGCCTATGATAACGTCGATTGGTGTCCGCGCACTGGAAATATATTCACTGAGTTTGGTTCATTTGGTAGATGGGACACAGATCTCTACTTTTATTTGCTTAATCAAGAGTTAAACATCTTAAGGAACTGACATCCAATTTCTGGCAGTGGTGCCTTTTTTTTTTTTTTTTTTTTTTTTTTTTTTTTTTTTTTTTTTTTTTTTTTTATTTTTTTTTTGCTCGCTGATTCGTCCGTTTTTACAATGAAAAATAATTCCACGTATTTCGATTCTTTGACATGGAACTGTTCATCAATGCAACTATACTTTGTTCACATCCCACGAGACTATCATTACAAAAATATTTTACAGGGTTTTATCCTAATCAATGCTTTGGTAGCCGTGTTAGCCATCTGCTGTAACTTAATCGTTATTTACACGATCTCGCGAACACCTTCTCTTCAAAAGCCCTCATATTTTCTGATTCTCGGATTAGCAGTATCTGACTTTGGGGTAGGTCTGTTGTCACAACCGACGTACGCTGTCAATAAGTTTGCTGAGCTGACAGGGAGAGTGACAGTGTTTTGTATCACTGGTAAGGTATTCAGTTCAACTGCTATAATATTTACAGTGATATCGTTTTTCACACTGTCAGCAATCACCTCGGACCGATTCCTTGCCGTTCAACTTCACCTACGATACCAAGAGGTTGTTACAACTAAACGCTGTTTCGCTGTTATTGCTTTAATATGGATCTCCGGCTTACTGATCAGTCTTGGTAGAATGCTAGCACTCGGGCTCCCATTTCTTATCACAGTTATTATCATATTTATCTCTCTACTTCTTCTCAACGCATTTTTTCTCGGGAAAATTTATCAAGTAATTCGCAGACACTCGGTACAGATACGAGCCCAGCAACACTCCGCACAGCAGGCTTTTGACATGCGCAAATTTAGAAAGACCATCAATACCGTGGATTTTATCATCCTTGCATTTCTATTGTGTTATGTGCCGTATGCTGGAGCATTAATCATTCTTGTGGTAAGGCAGCAACGTACTGAAGGTATTCGCCTTTTACTAACAGTAACTGAATCTTTCGTCATGTTTAATGGCGTGCTCAATCCAATTATTTATTGTTTGCGAATTCAAGAAATACGGAATATCGTTCGGCGGTTCTACGGAAAGTTCTCGGAACAACAAAACCTAGAACAATAACGTTTTTTTAACGTTAAGCATGATTTACTATTCGGAATATCGTTCGGCGGTTCTACGGAAAGTTCTCGGAACAACAAAACCAAGAA